ATCATGTACTCTATGCCAGTGAGATAGCTGAAAGCCCAATTGGACTGAATGAACTTCATGACCACAGAATGGCTATGAAGAAGAGAAATAGGAAGGGGAAATAATATTTATCAGGCTCTTTATATGGCCCACGGATACAATTTTCATAACTTTTCTCTCACTAAACTCAGTGGATTCTATGACTAGGGGTATGTTCCTGAATGGGTCAGCAGAACCCCAACAGACCTAAGACCAGCTGAGGGGGGTGGATTGGATATTCAAAGGGAAAACTATACAGAGGCTAGGAAGCCTGGGGAGCTTCGGTAGGGAGACACAGCCAGAGGAAGAGAAAGCGAAAAGTCTGGAACCTCAGTTCTCTGGTCAACAAGGTGCAGATCCCTTGACTCAAGTGGCAGGAGAAACGGGAAGGCATTTGGTAACCTTTTGTAACCTCACTGACCAGAGTGAGAGACAGCAAGAGGGCTGCTGTCTGCTCATTAAAGACACGCAAACATCATTCCTGGTGCTAGGAGAGCAAGTTACTAGGAGCAGGCAGTACCTGAAGTTCCTGGAACACACCTCTCTAATTTAACTATGGAATACAAGTATTACCGAGTCTGGTACTTACATGCAGACATATCCTTTTAGAATATCAGAAATATTTATGAAGAAAAGATAGAGGTGTTAAGTGACCACCTTTGTAATTTGACTCTGAAAACCAGAAAGGTATGTGAGGAGAGCATATAGTGGTTGGTTCTACCATCACCAGAGTGCTCTGGGCTAGGTACTGTGGCAAGCCCCTACAATAACTCTGGAGTAGCTGCTGATGAGACTTTCAGTAACATCTACAGATTCCCCAGCCAGGGAGGGAGAGTTAAACCTAGGCTCAACTCCAAAACCCATATTTGTCACAGCCACACGGCCCTGTGTTCTAATGTCTATAACAAGTGGCTTTAGTAATGCAAAATCTGTTTAAGTGAAAATCGAATCAGAACTTTCAAAAGTACAAATTCTGACCTTGTTCTCAGTCCAGTAGTAAACTCATCTATTCAATGTTTTTTTAGGAGTAGGTGTTCCTCAAAAATGTATTTCTAGCTAACTGATGCTCCTGGAAATTTGTTTTATATCATCATATATTTATCTGCCTTTTTAAAGGGATTATACGGAACATAATACAATTGTTTCTTTTGGTCCAGGAATATTACTTCCCAGTAACAACCAGAGTGACCATCATAGTGTTGTCCACAGGATCATTTTTGTTGTTTTCCCAGTTTCCTCCCTTATGCTATATACAGGAGCTGTCACTATTTCCTGTCATTACTATGTTCTACTTTGGGAGTACAGTGGCTCTGTAGGATAAGAACTGGACTTCGAACCACAAGGTTGGCGGTTCAAGTCCTCCAGCTGCTCCTCAGAAGGAAAATGAGGATTACTCCTTCCACAAAGATTTACAGCCTCAGAAACCCTATACAGGGTCTCAATGAGTCGGAACTGACTTGAAGGCCTGTAACAACAACCACACATAGTGACCCTGTATAGGGTTTCCAAGGAGTGGCTGGTGAGCTTGAACAGCTGACCTTGCGGTTCAAACTGATCTTGCAGTCCAGCACATTAACCCACAGCACCACACCACAACAATATTGTTGTTGTTTTTAAGTGTCATTGAATCGGTTCCGACCCATAGTGACCCTTGTTTACATGCTTTAATTTCATCTTAAGAATATCATCATTGGCTATCTGAGTAGGGAGATTTTTTTTACTCCTTTTCCCCTCTTATATTTAATCCTGATTAATGGTATATAATGATGTCTATCTATATATATTGTGTATATAATGGGTACATATAATCACATATAATATAAATATATATATAAACATATATAAATTTTAGAAATGCCTATCACAACAACTTATAGATCTAAGTTTCTTTTCTAATGGTCCATTATATCATGGTACTTACATGCTTCTAATTCTTTCAAAGAAACTGCAAATTTTCTTTCAGAATAGTGTGTGTGTGTATAAAATGTGCAAACATGCGTGCGTTTTAAAGCTTTGGATTTATAAATAAGTTCTAAATATCATTTCAAAAAGAGATATTTTATTCTGGAGGTCAGTATGCCTTATCTAAAAATAACTTCAAAGAAATCCATTGTTGTTAACAGCTGTTGAGTTAGTTCCAAGTCATAGCGACCCTGTATAAGGTTTCTGAGGAGCAGTTGGTGAATTTCAACTGCTGGTTTTTGGGTTAGCTGCTCAGTGCTTATCCTGTAGCGCCACACCAGGACTCCCACTGGACAAAGTATTCATAAACACAGAATACTGTGGCACATAATTTGTGACTGAAACCTAGAATAAGAGATATAAAATGAAACTTTCAAAAACATAATTTATTGAACTAAAGAAATTGTAGAATCTCATTTTATATTCAGGTTAGTTTATTTTTAATTAAAACCCATGTAATTATTTTGTGCTAAAAGGTGAAGACACAAATGCATAAACTCATGGAAAAGTACTGTATACAAGGAGGCTTCAAAAGATTGTGGAGAAGTGGAATTATAATATAATGGAATTTTTCTACTAATTTTTTGATGCTTTGTCATATAGTCAAATAATCATTTAAAATATTGACATTTATTTCATTCGTTGCAAGATAAACTTCCATTACTTCGATTAAAAAAAAAACAACAACGTTTGGGAAAGTCTAAATAATAGTTTTGTTTTCCTGAAGTAACAGGTATATCTCCTCTTGAAATACTATATATGGGAGTTTGATGTTTTGGGTCTCTGATGGAGTTCTCTCATGTCTATTATTATGCATCTAGTGAAGCAAAGACTGTTAAAAAAACTTTTCAGGAGGCCACATTGAACTATTTGGGTCTATTTTAAATTCCTTATGCTTCCTGATACGTCTTAGGAAATGCAGTGAGCAACACACAAAGTGATTTCTCCTAATGAGGGTACGTGTCATTTCACTGTCTCATACATGCTTGTCACAGTCATCATCACAAATTGGGACATTTGAGCCTCACGTCTCATAAAGCAGCTAGAACTTTCCCTTCCAGACCGAAAAAATCTCTGTCAGAAACTGGAAGGCAGAGGGAGTTCTCAACAGGGTATACAGAAAAAGAGCTGGTTCCAGACCATGTAGACTTGATTGGCCAACTAAAACACAGGTCAAAGTTCACACAGCCTGGTAAAGCTCTAGTGGAACCAATGAGAACAGAGCTTGGCACATAGCAGGCACTCAATACATACATATTGATAAGTTAATAAGATGATTCTACTTTAATACATGATATAAAATCTGCAAGGTATTTGTACAATATTATGTCACTTCCCTCATCAAGGTTCTGTTAAAAAGTAGCAGTGGCCATATGCAAAGACAGCAATAGCACAGAAGAAATGAGAAGAAGAAAGTTAGCTAGCTTCCAGGTTTCTCTTTCCACAGGTCTCACTTGGGCACTATGTTATATCTTTCAGAGGAGGGAGACATCTGCTCTAGAGCCATTAATTCTGGTATAACAGAACCCTGTGTCAAAGTTGGTGAAGGGGCTCAGAACTTAATTTTAGCAAACAAATTTAGATACTGTAAATTCTCACCATATCAGATGATAGCATCAATAGTCTTTTACCTGCAATGTCTGACAAAGTTAAAGAGAAATCATATGGAGATGACTGTTCTTTTATATTATTCATGCTATTGCAGCCCTTTATTATGGGGCATATAGCAAAGACTAGAATTTTTAATAGAGATCAAGAAGAATTAATAGTTCTTCATGGAAGCCCCGAGCTGGAAAACTCACCAAGGGTCATCAGGTTCAATTAACCAGAATATAGCCAGAGAGTACCCATGAAACACAGAATTATATAGAGAAATAAGACGTTTAGTCCTCTGTTACCACTATGTTTTTTGTTGTTTTTTTTTTTTTTTTAAATTAAGATAATACATCAAGCACCTTCAAATCACAAACTATTTTTTTCTGCTAATTTATAAGAAAGCAGGGGTACTATGAATACATATAATAATTACAATAATATTTTAATCTGGAGTGGCACTGTAGGATAAGTATTGTATTGCTAACCTCAAGACTGACAGTTCAAACCCACCTGCTACTCCTCAGAAACTCTACTCAGGGTTGCTATGAGCCAGAACATTTTAAACTTAATAGCAATTGTATAAATATTTTAGATTAAGGAAAACATGATATAAATATTTTAGTTCATAATACTCTCTTTCTAGTCTGAATTGGAAGTGAAGGTTCTTTAAGTCAGAAGGGACTTTAGAGGTCATTTTAATCTAGGTTTCCACTTATATAGACATCCTGTCCATGGTATATTTCATCTAAAATATGACATAATAAAATACTAAAGTAACAAATTTAAATACTTAGGCACTTTAAAATTCTATAAGAGCTGCTAGATGTGGACTACTACTATTGCTTTAGTTGTTAAGTAAACTATTTTTTCTAGACTTTGCACAAAATGATATATTAAAATGGTCTTTTTATATTTTTAATAATTGTCAGCTATTATATAACGGAGATTGGCCTCAGTGTAATTCTGTTAGCATCATTCATAATATTGCATGTGTACTTAGAAACTTATTTCAAAACAGCGTTGTAATTCTTTTAGGTAAAATTTAGTAAGTACCTTGGGTTATCAGAGCCTATGGATGTTTAATCTCAGAACTAATGTGTCAAATACTGTCAGAGAACACCTGTACAACAAATGCAACAAAACAACCACTAAATATAAGTTCAGTCAGGTCTGCAAGGAAAGAGGCTGGTAGAACCCTGGCATCACTGCCAGTTTCAGCATCACCCAGCTGTGACATGCGTGAGTGGGACTTTTGTTTTAAACAACAGTGCCACTCTGTGGCCATACAATGGTAGTGAATTGATAAACAGTATGAATGGAGGTGGGCAAAGTGAAAAATGGGATTTGGAAAAAAGCAATGATATTTCAGGCAAAGAAAAACAAAACAAAACAAAAAGCCCACTAGGTTGCTATGGTAACTGTACCTTGGAGGTCAGTTAGGGTCTGGACAGGAACACAAACCTGAGCATCGCTTCCTGTAACTACATCGCCTAGATTTCATAAGAAAAAATAATTAGATTTCATAAAAATGAAATAATCAACTTTACTTTTCTTCCAGACTTAACGTTTTAACACTTTTATCAATCTAATTACTAAAAATGCAATAGAAAATACAGTACATGCTTATAAAAATCAATATAAAATATTTTGTAATGGTAATAATTTTTTGTTTCCTATAAAGCTTTTGCTTTTTTCTTTTAAAAGAAGAAAACAAGTTTCTACTGATCTAGACTATAAAACTTGACAATCAAAAGATTTCTCTGAATAGATTTCATGATGATACAAATATTAGTGTGACTTTATATATCCTTTCTGAAAAAGAATCACTTAAAAAATTTTTTTACCCTAAAGTTACAGCAATTACTAAGAAACTGACAGGCTTTGAAATTGATAGTCTAACTTTATCAGACAAAATTTATTATTAAAACTTGAAACCCACTACTTCATGGTAAGATTAAGACCTAATAAACCTGTATGTTAAGTGAAAAGTTCAAATTTCAAATACATAATGAAAAGATTTCATAAATTACTAGCACTAAAAATAAACCTGTGAACTGTGTAACCTCTAAACTTGATACAGTTATTATAGGTAAGATTTCAGTGACAAATTTAAGAATTCTTACAGATGTAGATGTATTCAAATTCAAAGGCAATCAAAACTGTACACAAAAGAAATAGGGAAAAGGGGCATTTCCAAAGCACAGGAAAGGAAGCACATCAGGAAATGCTACGGATTCGGGTACAGTAACATTTAGGAAGAACACTTCTTGGTTCTTTGGTTTCCTTCCTGGATGGCAAAGCTCAACACTGAGCAAACTTCCTGGCAACAGAATAATCCTCTGGATATACCACAATCTGAATGCCTAGGCTATTTTGAGAGTGACTAAGAGAAGAAATAGAAAAAACAAAACACACCTCTTGACAGACACCCTAATTTCTGTGTATGATCAATAGACTTGCGTCCCCTCTACCTTTTTATACACTACGTAGTTAAGAAAACCCAATTTTTGAATTAAATAGTAGCACTCAGTTCCCTGACCACTTGCTACAATTAAGATTTTACAGCACAGCTAGCTCAGCTGGAAATTGTTGGGTTGTAATTATATCCTTCTCATCAATTAACAGTGCTTGAATTTATAGTTGTATAGCCACCACCATGTAACCCAAATAAATCTATAAATAGGGTATCTACTCCAAACAAGTGGTAAACAGCTTTTAATAGAACTATTAGGTCCTGAATTTTCTTAATAAGTACAGTTACCTCTCAATTTAATGATAAACGATGTGCCTACATTCTGAATATTTGCTTGAGAGTCTCCATTATATTCCTCCACTCAACTTAGACAGCTGCTTCTCAATCACCTATCATGCATATTTAGACTAAAAGCCCATTTTAATTTTACATATCATACCAAGAAAAGCCTGGGCTAATATCTGTGCAGTCTCTTCCTCTTTCATTACTCCATCCCAACACATAAAAACCACAGACTGGATTTCAAGCAATTTATAGGTGGGTAAGTCACAAGGTATTGCTACACTATGGTTTCAGTTCACACATGCACAGGTTTATTCCAAGCAAAACATGTTTACACATGTTTCTGTGATTAGTGGATGGCTGCAGATAGGCTCTCTCAGTAACAGACTTATCTTAGTCTTATTAGTGTGCCTTCAAAAATAGTTCCAATCAAAACCTTGCCTTCCTAGGTTCAATTCAAGGAAGAGAGATCAACTCTTAGAAAGTTATGGTGACTGTCTTGAGAGCCTCCAAAGGGGTATCTTGATAGATTTTCTTGAAGGACACAGGACAATTATGGGGCTTATAAGGAGCTCTGGTAGCGTAGTAGTTACGAATGGGGCTGAGAATCTCAAGGTCAGCAGTTCAAAACTACCAGCTGTTCCACGAGAAAAAGATGAGTGCTTTCTGCTCCCGTAAAGATTTACGGCCTCGGAAACCCTGTACAGGGTCACTACAAGTCGGAACCGACTCGACGGCACATAACCACCACCACCATTAGGAAGAAGTGTTAATAAGACAACTGGAAACTGCACTGGTGAGGAAAAGGCCAGGAAAGTTGTGCAAAGGATTTTTTTCCCTTCACCACAGTATACCGGCTCATTTTCTGAGGGTAACAAGGGCTGCCCTAACAAGAATTTCTTTGGGAAACCTAATGCCATCCACTCTACAGTCCTGATTTTGACCCTTTAGACTTCTATTTGTTCTAGAAACTCAAAGAACATTTAAAAGGAACATGATTTGTGTCCCCTGAGGATTAGCAAACTAAAGTTTTGACATGGTATAAGTTGAAGGGCGCCGAGTTCTTCAGGGATGGAAATGCTGCCTTGAGAAGGGTAGACATGGAAGATATGTTGAGAAACAATAGCTTCACATTTTGATATTTTTGTTGAATAAAGGTTTCTCTGATAGCATAGTGGTTATGAGTCAGGTTGCTAACCTTAAGGTCAATAGTTCGAAACTACCACCCATTCATTCTACAGGAGAAAGCTGAGGCTTTATGCTCCGGTAAAGATGTACAGCTTTGGAAACCCTATACATATTATAGGGTCACTAAGAGTTGGAACCAACTTCATGCACTCCACCACTACCACGATTTATAGCAATACTTTTTGACTTACCCGTGTACATGAATTTTGGATTTACCAAATAACTTCCCCAATATAAGCACAAATAATTGAGAGTAACTAAATTATAAAAAGGCATGCACTTTCCTCCTCATAGTGTTTTTACAAACAATTGTCAAATTTTCTTTAACAGTAAAAAAAAAAAAGCTATTACATTATCTTTCCTCAAAGGCACTAAGTAGGTGACTGCTCTGAGATGCTTAGAAGTCATCTCTCCTGAGCACAATCCTCCTGACAGGCTAAATATTGTGCTCACTTATCTCTGGGACCAGGTGACATGCTTGCAGTGAGGTAGCAGAGTGAAAATGTAAACATAAAGATCCAAAGTTGGAAAATTATTTGTCATTGTAGGTTAGCAGATGAATCTTTCACCTACAGAACCACAGCCGAGGGGCTCCACCGAGTCTCTGGGTGAGAAAACAAGGGTGGGCGTGATATAGGGTTCTACTGAGGGTCTCACAGTGTGAGTGAAGGGAGCTCATCAAACTACACTAGTTTCGATTTCTATAAAACTCTTATCTTTGCTTTTTACTTAATTTTATTCAAACCTTTCTGCAGGGAGGGACATTAACAGGCATATTCATCTTTGAATATGAAGGTAGACAAGATTTTTTAGTCGACTGACATGAGGCATATGAAACAGAAATAAAAAGATAGAGGAGTTGCCAAACAAGGCCACTTGCTTTCAGCACAGGGATCAGTTACAAAATTCCCTAGTGATACTTGTGTTCCAAATACTTTGCGTAAGTGCTCTGTTGTCTCCTTATAACTGGGGACTTGGTTTTCATCAATTGTTCCATCTTCATGCACTTCCTTTCTCACTTACTGTGATATTAATACTTGACATTTCCTGAGAGACACAACTTTATATTTCTATAGTCATTTGGCTTGGTTCCTCAGAAAATTTAAGCTTCAGCATCAAGAGATTCTCTGACTCATTTGCCCGTCATCAGTTAGAATTACTACTGACTACAGCTTGTTATCAAAGCAATATTGAAATCATATTTGTTTAGAACAATAAAACAGTACAATTAAGAAATATATAAAATCACATTCATTTTCATTCTGGAAGTGGGCATGTCTCCTGGCATTAAAATACATTTACAACATGCTAATGATATGAAGTCTCCTTTTCTTTAAATCATGTGTGATAGTTCTACGTTACAAAACAAAGAATGTAATTTAAACAAGATAGTCTCATGAAAGGTAAATAGAATATTCTAATAAAATTTGAATAGTAATTATATAGTCTAATATTCATACAGGAAAAAAATATTAAAAAGATAGAAAACATGATATAACCCATGGAGGAATCCACATAAATGCGTACTCACTACTGAATCATGCTCATTATTTTGTATCACTGGGAAATAAAGTCCATATAACTTACCATTTTCAATGCCATTACTAAAAAAATTTTGATAATTTTGGAAGCAATCTCTTTGTAAACAGGGTATATGGAACAGAGTTTAAAATCTTGCTGATTCAATATTTCTAGTGCTATTGTCAACACTAGTTACTGAACATTGCTAAACATCAGGATCCCATAAAAATGAGTAAGGCAGGCGTCAGGGGGTTTGGCCCAACACTGCAGGGTCCCAGACTGTACGCTCTGTGTGGTCTTAGAACTGCTTCTTTTGCAGATTTTCTGCTATTATGTTACTATTCCTGGCTTCTATAGTATAGATAGCAGAGTCCCACCATTAAAAAAAAACAAAAAAAACCTGTTCCTAACCTGCTACGAAATTTATTGTGAAGTGGCATAGAGTTGGTTCTAACTCATAGTGAGCCTGTATAGGGTTTCCAAGGAGCAGCTGATGGGTTTGAACCACCAACCTTTTGTTAGCAGTATAGTGTTGATCCTACGGCACCACACAAGGACTCTCTGCTATGAATTAGGGGGGGATAATCCATTGACTGTTTGAAAATAAGAGTATAAAGGTTCTGAGTAAGAAAGTCAAGAACTCTCTTATGAGTAAAGTACACGAGGGAGATACAGTACTAGAAAGAACCCTGAACTAGAAATGAGCTTACCTGAGTCCCAGTAGCAGCTTCTCCTCATAGAATGAGAAATACGAACTGCAGGAATGCTCAGTTTTCTTCTGCTCTAAACTTCTATGGTTCTAACTTTCATTACATGGACTCAACACACTTAATTTCAGTTGCTCAAGAGTTTGTTTAGATCTCCCCCTACCCTCACATTCTTCCCCTTAAGATTCTAACTGGTATTCCTCTGAGGTGAGACAGCTGGTTCAGAGACTGCAAGGCTGACAGTATGCTTCCTCAAAACCCTGCACTACACACACTCAAGAATGCTCTGGTTAGTAATGCTCCGAGAACGGGAATGTGCTGCTTCAGGTTCTCTGCAGCAGGACAGTTATAACGACTTAGTAGAGAATGGAGTCAACTGGTCTGAAGTTCTGACTTCTGAATGCTTGTACCAATTGTATGGGCACCCATGTAAATGGCTTATACTCCTGGTGTGGTGCTATACTATAAGCATTGGACTGCTAACCACAAGGTTGGCAGTTCAAACCCACTAGGCTGCTCTTCAGAAACCATACACACAGGGTTGTTACAAATCAGAACTGACTTGACAGCACTTAACAATAACACAACAATTAAGACATATCTATTTTTTAAAATACCTAAACGAATTATTTCATTAATGAAGAAAAACACAGTATCTGATATTTCAAATTTAAAAGAATAAAGTTAAGCCATCTCATTTACTAAGTTTTATATGAATTTGCATTGCTAAGAGACTGAATAAGCAGGTAAGGAAATCCCGGCCTACAGCGCGAGTGTTCTCTTTGGCTTTACTTTCGTTGCTGGTTTTGTTTTCCTTTTTCTTTTCCCTTACCTTTGTTCAATTGCACTGGCATGCTTTCTGATTTCATCAGCCTCTGCTGCTGCTGCTGCTGTTGTTGTTGTTGTTGTTGTTGTTGTTGTTGCTGTTGCCTGGAGGCCTCTGCCGAGGTCCTGGTGGGAATCACTGGAGTGCAGGAGCTGCCACTACTGACCCCAGGGATGGGGTTACCAGCAACGCCAGGGGGCGGTGCTGGGGAAATCAACTTTCTTCCAAAATTAATCAGGCTATTAGAGACTTTATTTATATTCAGGGGAGTACCTTTGGCATTGGTCCTGGAAAATAAAACAAAAATTAAAGGCAGAGAGGTTATTTAAATTAGAAGACATCTCTGTGTCCTATACTCCGCTGTAATTTCACATACTACGATGAAAACATAACCTGGCCTGTTTTGAAAAGAACCATTTACTAGGTCCATTGTAGTTGTATAAAGGGAGAAGTGAAAACAAACTAATAAAATAATACAGTTTTTTGAAATGTGTGTGATATATGGAAAATAGTCTTGTAACTTTTCATTCATTTAATAACTAGAGCCTCCTGCATGTAGACCTTATGCTAGCTTTCTTTGGATATGATTGTTTAACACAGACCCAGTTCCCTTCATGGAGCTTCTAGTCTAGCAGGAGAGAAATGACTTTTAATCCAATAACCATGTAAAGAAATGCATGATTAACATATACGATGAGGGCTATAAAGGAGCAAGTCCTGGTGAGTTCACAGCAAGGGGCACTTGGGTAACTGGCTGAGAAGAGATTCTTCAGATGTGCCGGCACATCAGAACTTAGTCAAACTTAATCTCATTTTGAACAATAAATGAGTCTGAGAGTCATGAAGTAAATTCATAGATGTTTTATCAAGCACCCAAGTCATTAAAATTGCAATCCACCCCCAGCTCACCCAGAATTTCTTTCTTCATTTCCCTATCCCTTTTCTTGATAGCATTTCTCATCAGTAGACATAGTGTGAGTTTTAGTTTTTTGGTTATTATTTGTCTACCTTCTCCAATACCCTTTCAAATATATATGTTTTATGAGAGCAAGACTTTTTGTTGTTGTTGTTGTTGTTAACTGCTATATTGCAAGTGTCCAGAACATCACAAGCACTTTACAAGTATTTGTTACATGGTGACTCCATCTATGTTTATCATTGTCTTTGGCTTGAGTCAGTCCCCAACTCATGGAAACCCTGCGCCCAATGGAAAGAATCACTGCCTATTCCGGCACCAGCCCCATGATCAGGCTGTGATTGAGACTGTTGTGATCCATAGATTTTCATTTGATGGTTTTCTGAATAAAGATCACCAGGCCTTTCCTTCTAGTCTGTCTTAGGCTGGAAGCTCTGCTGATACCTGTTCATTATCACAGCAACAGGTCTCCGCATGGAAGGTGACAATTCTGCCACAAAAGCACCACTAACTCCTAATACGTCACAGAGAGAAAACAGTCCCTGCTGCTAGCCACGGCCAGTCCTTCCATTTGTACCCTAGATACCCCGCAGCTCTCTTGTCTGCACCATCATAGTTTCCTTTCTCCATGGCACCATTCCCATTAGCATCTGTGTGTGTACATTTGTAGTACTTTCCCCTTGAGCCCTCATTCCTGTCCAGTTACCCTCCCATTTCTTCTCCTACCCACACTGTACATTTTGAAGGTGGTTCCTTAACTTGCTACTCCTTTTCCTTTGGTCTTGGGCCCACTAAGTCAGCTTGTAGTCTTTGCTCTATAACCATTCCTCAAGTCACTAATGACTTCTGCACTGCAGATCAAAAAGCCCATTTTGATTTTATTCTTTAATTGTTGCTGTTAAGTGCCATTGAGTTGGTTCAGACTCACAGCAACTCTTATAAGGTTTCCGAGGAGTGTTTGGTAGGTTTGAACTGCAGAACTTGAAGTTAGCAGTCCAGAGCTTACATACCCAATTCCCTTTATTTCCTCCCTCCCTTCTCATACTTCTTCTCTGGGCTTCCATGGTGTGTCAGACATATGCTGTAACTATACCTGATAAATATTTGTTGCATGAACTACCTGTTTTCAAATGATTCATAATCTTATATTAAGTATCTCATGCTATTGTCTTAAAAGATTGGTTATGATTAGAAACAACTGTCTTGATGACTGGTTATTATCATAAACTATTGTAGTGATAAGGAGCTCTGGTAGCATAGTGGTTACAAATCGGGATACTAACCTCAAGGTCGGCAGTTCAAAACTACCAGCTGTTCTGCCGGAGAAAGATGAGGCTTTCTGCTACCGTAAAGATTTAAAGCCTCAGAAACCCTGTGCAGAGTCACTATGAGTTGGAACTGACTCCATGGTACTTAACAATAACAACAACATTGTAGTTATAGGTGGCAATCCAACCCTATAATACCAGAGTTGGTATTTTTATTGCCAATATCATTAATAGAAGCTTCTTTTCTTACTTTTTTTCCCCCACCTCTTTTCTTAAGAGTGGAAACTGAAAATCAAGTTTGTGGGATTCAGTTATTAGATTTTGGTTCACTTGAGTTTTACTATCATTTCCTTCTCCCAGTTTACCTGGCAGCACTTACATAGTTATGTGCCTACTTTTTATATAATAGTTGTAACCCTGGCATTGCCAGATACACCTCTAAAACCAGAACTGATTCATGCTTCTATAATAAAAAAAAGAAGATTACCATACTTTTTCTTTTCTAATAGTACTACTATTATAGTCTAGGTATAGGAGACTTAGATTGTCTAGGAGTTTAAAACCTGAAATTCAGCTAAGTATACGGAGCCCTGGTATGGTGTTGTGGGTTAATGCGCTAGACTGCAAGGTCGATTTGAACTGCAAGGTTAGTGGTTCAAGCTCACCAGCCATTCCTCGGAAACCCTATATAGGGTCACTATGAGTCAGAACCTAGTCGACGGCACTTAACAACAACAATAACAATAATAAGTATACATATAAAGACCTAGTCATTTATAACTCAATGAAATGCTGGGAGAAAATCATTTTTCAAATCATTCCTTTGGAATAAAGTTTTATCTGTAACGAATTAGCTATTAGATGTCCTTCCTAAAATGACTGAAAATAAAGTTTCATAAAGGAGTTATGGATAGGCAGAGATTGTGTTGTACTTAGTGGAGTTGTTGTTGTTACATTTAGTGGAGTTGTTGTTGTTGTTGTTAAGTGCCATGGAGTTGGTCCAGACCCAATGTGACCCTGTGTGGGGTTTCCAAGGAAAGCCTGGTAAGCTTGAACTGCCGACCTTGTAGCTGAAGCTGATTTTGCAGTTCAGTGCATTAACCCACAGCGCCACACCAGGACTCCACCTAGTGGAGTAGAGCACTTGTATTTTAAAGAGTCTATGTGGTTAGCTGGGAGAAGATGCTCAATACGTGTCTATTAAGAAAACAGAATGAATGAAACGAAAGGAATCAACACATTTTGGCTGAAGGAGGCACTATATTCTACTCAGTAGTCGGCACGCACTCCCATTTCTTATGAGTGGCAGTAGAAAGAAGAGCTATCAAGATATTGAGACTGTTATATTTTAGTTTCACTTGTATGTAAGTCAAGATTCATAATTCACAAATATGAAGAAGTTATAATGTTGTTACCCTTTTTTATAAACAAAAATGTACTAGTCAAATTCCCATACTGCCAGTTGTAAAATTTATATGTTGATAAAAGTACTAAAGAAACTGCTACAGCATTATCAAGAGAATATGGTTAATGCATCTTCATTACTACTAATAACCACTAAAAACATATAGATCAAGCTCATGCCGAGCAATTTTTCATTTCAATAGCTCTTAAAAGGGG